AATTAGTCACCATGTTGTATGTAATGTTGAAATAGTGCATGTAAATATATATTTAACTAAGTATGCATATACATATGTATGCATATACATATTTCTATTGAATGACAATTCTAAATTTGTGCAATGTTTCAATGTTTTTTATTGTACTTTTTTCAAATGTTTTTTATTTTACTAAATTATTTGTATAGGTATATCATAATATTATGTTTGTACGTTGTTAATTTTCTATTATTCGGAAGGGAAAATAAGTAGAAAGTTTTATTATTCGGAAGGGAAGGGACAACTAGAAATTTTCTGAAACTGTTGACATATGCACATATATAAATATGTCACACGTTCCGGAATCGAAACTCCTATGGGAAATTTTAGCATTATACAGTATGCCGAAACTCTAAAATAATTAAGCATAATTCTCCATAAAATTAAAACTATTCAAACATTTAAGAAACTGTAATTTCTCTCCTAAAATTTAATATTAAACATTGATTTAATATTTGAACAAAAAACGTTTAAATTGTCACATATAAAAAAAATACTTTTTTAGATTATTTTTTTGTAGCTTTAGGAAAACGCAAATATTTGAAATCAGCATTGATAAAGTGCGTATGTAGCGCACGAAATATATTAGCAAAAAAAAAAATAAAATAAAAAAAAGTATTTTATTCCGAATAAAAGGAAGTTTTCTTTTCATACCAATAAAAGCAAATATTTGAGTTATTGCAGAATTTTAAATCAAAGTTAGTCCGTTTTCATTTTCAAGCGATGGCTCATTTCACTTCGATGTTTTTACCGACCGTACTGTGTAAACAATAGGTAGGTTATGTGATGGCAACAAATTTTGCATATCGAGTTTTCGGTGGGAACGTACTTCTCCATAGTAGGGAAGTGTAAATAAACTATTTTTAGCAACCTGTCGGTCTGTCGGTCTGTGTGTGCACGCGTGTATCTCAAGTTCGGCTGAACCGATTTTGATGAAATTTTATATGTAAGTTTGTTTCCACCATGGTACGGATCGATCAACTTTTGGTATATATCAGGCCTCGGGAACTGCACTTTTTAGCGGGCCTGTTTTACATTTTTGAACATTTTGAAGAAAATATTCAACCGATTTACTTGAAATTTTATATATAAGCTCAGCTCGACCGTCCGCAAAAATTCGTATGTTTTGGAAGAAATCAGGCATCAGCAACTGGGCGTTTACTACGGGCCAAATATACATTTTTGTGTATATAAAGAGAAATAATCAACCGATTTCATTGAAATTTAATATATGAATTCCCCGTATTAACACAATGAACATGTAAATTTTTTGGAAAGATCAGGCATCGGCAACTAGACGTTTACTACGGGCCAAACATACACTTTTGTGTATATAAAGAGAAATAATCAACCGATTTCATTGAAATTTAATATATGAATTCCTCATATTAAAGCAATGAACATATAACTTTTTTGGAAAGATCAGGGCTCGAGAACTGATTTGCGGGCCGATTTTACATTTTTCACCATATCCACAGAACAAATTGATGGAATTTCTTGAAATTTGATATTTGAGTTCTGGTTGTTACCGAAACTAACTGGCGAGCATTTCAGGGAATTCGGGTAGCACAAAGCGAAACTCTACTAAGAGTCAAATTTACATTTTTCTGGGTATGTTAACTATAAGCTTACTAATGTCCTAAAAATTGGAAAGAAGTATTTAACAGACATTTTTATAATATTCTGTAACACTTCCATTTAACTAGACAATACACAATGCGGTCGGTTATGTACTGACCACATCAGATTTTTTTATTTAATTCCAGTATAAATTTCTTTGTGCTAATTTACTATTGAATAATCAAAATATTTCATCTTTGCAAATATCATAATTTCCTACAGTACATTTATGAGATTTTAAATATTTTAATGTTCTATAATAGTTTTAAGATCTAGTGGCTTAATTTTTAAATGGGCAAAATTAAAATATAAAGTTTAAAGTGTAAAGTAAATTCAAGCTATTCAGTAAAATTTTAATTATTTAGAAGAAAACCAGGTGATTCTTAAATATTATTTGATTGAAATTTCACTTCACACAACAACAGTGTTTTGTTCCTAAAAAATTAATAAAAGTATATGTATATATACAGGGTGTCCGAGACTCAATAGTATTCCCGAAGCAGGGTGATAGAATACATGCAGACGAAAAAAAAAGCCTGATGACATTTTTCTTTCAGGGCCCTTGTTCTCGAGTTATGCCTCAAAGTTGGAACATGCAAAAACCGGCTTATTTTCACATTTTTATTTATAACTAGGGATATGTGACAGGTAAATTCAATCTTGTAGACTCGTTTTATAGCTAATAACGTCCTCATTCTAGCGGTGTAACAGCGGTTGCAAATATTTTTTTAGTTTAAGAGATATTCAAGTGCAAAGTCAAAATTTGTTAAAATTTTCTTTTTTTAATTTTCGTTTAACCGTCATTTACTCATAATTCCATGTTAACAACTGACCTTCATTTTGATATAACATAATGTCGAAAAAATTTTAGAAATAACATGCCTATGAGGCCAAAACCTTAGAAAATTAACTAAAACAAAGTATTTTTCAAAGAAAAACAAATTTTTTTAATCTTTAATACGCAGTATTATGCATTATTAAAATGTATTTTTTCTTTTACAAAATGAAAGACATTTGCATTACCTTTATTTCTCCACAAAACATTTCCAAAAGTTTCAGAAATATCGTGTCTACGAGGATCGAGTTTATAAAGAAACAACAAAAACGAGTTTTTTCGCAACAAATTAATTATAATCCAATTAATGTTCACCCTCTGATCTTCTGTGTATTTTGATATTATTCTAAAAATTCAATTATTGATCTTCAGGTATAGTTAATGTGGAAAATTTTAATTTTCTTAATGCTTGCAAGAGTGTTTTTTATTAGGAAAGCGAAATTAAAAGTGATTGAAGCACCGGACACCCTGTATATCGTATGTACGTTTCTTCTGTGTATATTTATTATATATAGAAGGAATATACGTAATTTATATTTATTATATTTATTATACATATATTTAACATATATTTATTTCACATACATGTATGTTATTGTGTGGCCTGTGTAGAAAACTATGAGAATTTATTATTTTATATGCTTTAATTTATTATATTATATTACTTATTGGAACTTATGCATATTTGTGTACAGATTCAGTTATTTTTATTTGAAAAAATTTCACACATTTGTTAAGGTCTGATTCTCATAATAAAATGTTTTCAATGAGCTCATTACTTGTCTGTTTGTATTTTGCCAATCTTGACATTATTTTGGTATCACAATTGTTCTACTACTCGTAGCACAATTTTTCCTAATAATTTACAACTGAAATTTCAATAAAAATGAAAATAGGTAGAGTTGAATGACAGATTTTAAATGCTGTGTGCTCACTGCCACATTGTTCCATGAGTACTCCTGGTTTTTTTCGTTTATGTAAAACTTTAGCATTGTAATTTCAACAGTTTCCATAATATAATACCACTTTGTCTGGCGACTACAACCATAAGTCAAGAAATTTCAACTAGTTTTATAGAATATAAGAGCTCTAATAAAATATTTGCTGTAGGTTCTATAAATTTTGAGATTTAATTATGGTAACTGCCAAATAATTTTTGAAGTTGTATGGCAGTTACCATAGGTAGCCAAGATATTTCAACGACATTATAGCTTCAAAAATTTTTTGAAATATAGCCAAATAATTTTAGAACTTGTATGGCAGCTACCCGAAACACAGCCTCCGTCAAATCCAATTTAGGGTTTCTGGCATTTACTATTATAAATCATTTGAGTCTGGCTCAATTAGTGTTTGAGTTATCGTTAGAACGGACGGACAGACGATAGATATGTTTGGATCGACTACGAATTCAAAGCAAAGCGTTACAAACGGTAGATCGAATATACGTTCGTACAGGATTTAATTGATATTTGATAGTTTCTGCATATATGTACATGTGTATATCTGTAACGTACATAAATGTATATTCTGGTATTCTCAAATGAGTTTCATTATAGTAAAGGGATTGCATATAATTTTTGTAGATCTATGTATGTATTTAATTATATATAAAAACAATAAACCAGCTAATAAGCATCTAAACAAAACCACATTTAAAACTATACAGTCCAGAACGTACATAAGCAATATTCTCGGGTAAAACCAACCACTTCTGCAAAAAATGAAAACTTATTTAAAATTTGCACATTCATATGCACACATTTTAAAAAGATAAAAATCTTTTGGTTTTTAAAAACTTAATTCAATTTTTCTATTTATGACATACCCGAAAATATTTATATTTTAGCGCATTTCGCGAACTGAAAAAATGTTGGATGTCAAACCATGAGTTAGTTTTGCAGATTTAGCAGTGTCAGATACAAAACTGGAGTTAATTTGTTTTAATTAAAAGAAAAACAAATTTACACTATTTTCCTTCACCTCCAAATAAACATTGGTGCTTGTATTATTGAACAAGCTGTGCATATTGCGTGTTTAGAATAAGTGCATATTAATTTTATACATACAGTGGAGTCCGCTTATAGTCACACAAAAAATTTCATAAAAATGTGTGACTATAAGCGTCATATGCCTATAAGCGTCAGTAGAAAAAAAAAATTTATAAATAAAACTCAAAACTTTATTTTTTTTTTAAATTTAATTTTAAATTAAGTACTTAAATAACAAAAACAAAAAATTCATATACATACTTACATATGTAGTACGTATGTTAAAACAAAACAATATGCAAAAAATTCTTTAAGGAATCAAATCTAACGTCTACATGTATGTAATGACAAATTTTTGTTGTGGAAATAATGTACCTATGTATGTACATACACAAAAGTGACAGAAAAAAATATTTAAGTCACAATATTTGCCGCTACAAATTCGACAACAAATATTGTAATTAAACTATTTGCCGTAATATAGATAGTAAAACTACTTACCGCTTTAAAAAAAAAAGGCGTTCAGAGAATGTGACTATAAGCGACGTCAAATATATGAATTAAGCAATATGGTTCACAAAAAATACGATCCAATAACCGTATGTGACTATAAACGTTTGTGACTATAAACAAATGAAAATACATGAAAATATAATAAAAAAGATGTTGACAACGAAATTGTTGACTGTACCCGAATTATGACTATAAACAGTAGTGACTATAAGCGGATTCCACTGTATATATTTTAGCTCTCTATAAGTGTAAGGTTCGTGTAATAAATTTGTGAAAAACACAGTGTGTTAAATTTGTGGTAGACTGTTTATTTCTTAAGATTTAAAATGTGTGCATAATTTTTTCTGAACTCATTATTAAGATGTAAAAAAGAAAAAACTCGCATTTTAATTGTAGCTTTATTATTATTATGAATTCCGGAAACGCTCTAAAATGTTGTTTGTTTTTATCTTTTAAATTCAATAGGGAAAAGTTATAATACTAAAAATTTTTTAACTTTGGGTACATACATACATATGTGAACATGCGAGGAAATTCTCTTATTTCTTATTTTTGAAATTTCGTTTTTAAATCTTGTTACATACATGTTCCACGATTTAGGTCTAAGATATTGCGTTTGGAAAAATTTTCAATAAATATTTCCGATGTATTCTTTTTGTTTGTATGTTTTTGACATACAATTTTGTACCACCTGCTTATACTTCGAAAATAGATGTATGTATATTTATGTATGTTAGTAATAATATTCACAAAATAAATCGTAAAATTAGATACCTTTCTATTTTACTTATTTTGTTAAAATTTTAAAAGGAACGGAAATAGGTTCTTTACCTGTAACAATTTATACACACATAAATTTTTCGGTGAACAGATGTGAGCAATCGATTAATTTATTGTATATCATAAGATAATGACGACGAGTATCGTTTATTACGTATGACTCAATAATTTTCGAATCGGTTATGAAATATATAAACATATATACATATATGTATATTTATTTCATAACCATGTGCATGTATGTTAGTATTACTGTAAAATATATATACATATGCAAATATAGCAATAACAATTTTTATTTCAGATTAATTAAATCAAAAAAAAAATGTTTTTGTAAGAAACTTATTGCTTATGAAATTGCAGAACAAAAAATATAAAAATTAAAGAGTTTTTATAGTCTATATATGTATAGTAGTCGCATAATGATATTAATTTTATTGTAATAAAATTAAACCATATTTAATTAAAAAGGTAGTATCTATAATAACAACATACATAATTTCTTCCAACTAGTAAACCTCTCTTTAACTCAAATTTATATTTACATTTTTCAGTTCTGTTAATTTGATTGACCTATTACATAAGAAAATGTACTTTATTTGAAATGCTAAATGTTAAATGTTAAGTGTTAAAAAGTTTTATAAATAACTCTGAAATTACAATTTGTTTATTTTAGATATAATGTACTTGCAATGTTAAATATATCTGAGGAAGTATGCTCACAAAAACATAGTTCAAAGTTTATTGTACTTATTATAGTCCATCTCATTTAATAGATCATCAAAATAGACCCCAAAAGATTTTCAATGAAAAAAATCTGATGTGGTCAACACATAACCGACCGCAATGTGTATTGTCTAGTTAAGTGAAAGTGTTACAAAATACTATATAAATGTCTGTTAAATACTTATTTCCAATTTTTAGGGCATTAGTAAGTTTATAGTTAACATACCTAGAAAAATGTAAATTTGGCTCTTAGTAGAATTTTGCTTTCTGCTACCCGAATTCCCTGGAATGCCTCCCAGTTAGTTTCGATAACAACCAGAACTCAAATATCAAATTTCGAGAAATTCCATCAATTCGCTCCGTAGATATGGTGAAAAATGTAAAATCGTTCCGCAGATCAGTTTCCGAGCCCTGATCTTTCCAAAAAATTTATATGTTCATTGTTTTAATACGAAAAATTCAAATATTAAATTTCAATTAAATCGGTTGATTATTTCTCTTTATATACGCAAAAATGTATATTTGGCCCGTAGTAAACGTCTAGTTGCCGACGCCTGATTTCTTCCAAAAGTTAAGAGGTTTCGCGGCCGGTCGAGCGAAGCTTACGTGTAAAATTTCAAGCAAATCGGTTAAATATTTTCTTTAAAATTGTCAAAAATGTAAAACAGGCCCGCTAAAAAGTGCAGTTCCCGAGGCCTGATATATCCCAAAAGTTGATCAATCCGTGCCATGGTCGAAATAAACTTACATATAAAATTTCATCAAAATCGATTTAGCCGAACTTGAGATACACGTGTGCACACACACACCGACAGACCGACGGGCCGACAGGTTGCTAAAAATAGTTTACTTACACTTCCCTACTATGGAAAAGTGCATTTCCACCGAAAACTCGATATGCAAAATTTGTCGCCATCACGTAACCTTCCTATTGTATACACAATACGGTCGGTAAAAAGAACAAATCAAATGAAAACAAAATGTTTTTTTCTTACTTGAAGGAAATTATAGATTTGCTTACCGGAAATTGTAGATTGAGTGAGTTCCTTTTTGAAATTTTATAAAAGGAACACGATGGTATTATTGTCAGATATAAAGTTAGAATATAATGAAATAAAAAATTTTAAGCTAAAATCTTAACCCTTATTTAAAATAATAGGCAAATTTATGTAATAAATAAAAACGGAAAACTTAATAAAAATATTTTTCTTTTTTTCATACTGAGAAATTCAATTGTGAAACACATTAATTATTTAATATTTTAGTTGATAACGTGTCCGTACTATTGGGAAAAAGAGAGTAAATAGGAGTAGTGAGCCGATGCGATTTTGTTTCACCAGCAACTATATGTATGTTAAGATTCTATGTTAAAAACTATAAAAATTAATGAAGTCGTTTTTTACTGTTGTAAAATAATAATAAGTTTTTAACAACTTTACTAAAAAATGTGAATATGGGTAGGCGTAGCAAGGTATGGGAGTAAATAGGTGTCTTGAAAATAGTATAGATGTCTTGAAAATAGTAAATAGGTACACAAGTTGATAAAACTCTAAAAAGAGAAAACAGTGACGCAATTTTTCGGAAAAAAAAATTCTAATTTCAGAAAAGATAAACCATATGGAAAAGTTGAAAAAACTTTCAAAAACTTTATATAAAAAACGTTATATAAAAAATCGAACACTTTAATTTTGGATTGCAAAACTATCAAACTTAGAAAAGACCATTTGCAAATCCATTTGGTCAATTTTATTTTAGTCCTAATTAAGAAGTTTTGAAAAAAAATTATTGCAAATAAAATTTTTGTTTTTTGGAAAATAAAACTTTCTGACATAAACAACTACATATGTACATTTGTAGTTGTTATGATTATGTTACCAGACAGATTTTTTATACATATGTTTCAACGGAACAGAACTTTTGTTATTATAATTTTATGCTTCAAAAACTTCGTTATTAAACTTAGTTTTATAATAAACTATTTTAAAAATTATACTTTCTAGTTTTCAAAGCAAGGCGCAATTCATGGGTGAGGTCATAAGCTATATGCTTTATTTAATTGTTTTTTGAACTATCTTCAGCTACAAATATATACATAACAATAACTAACATTTTTTATTTTGTTAATTATTTCCGCATTTTGTTTAACAATTTGCAAAATTGAACCTTTGTTTAATTGAACCTGTGAAAGTTTTAGCAAGAGGTAAGAAAAATTTAAATTAAATTTCATGTGTTTTTTACCATTATAAATACTAACATACATCCAAAGAAGTCATTTCCAATGAAACAATGAAAAATATAGGAAGCAAGGGTTTGAAATATCAAAAACTAAGAAAAAACAAAAATAAATCAAATTTTCTTTTTTTTTCTGTTCGAATGTTTAAAAATCTTCGCGTGATCAGCACATAACCGACCGCAAAATAACTTAATGTATACATATATACATATATATATATATATATACGTATATGTACACATTAAGTTATTAAAATTTATCATATAATGTTGTAAATTATTATATATATATATGTATAAGCAAAATAAATAAAGAAAAAACGAGAAAAATAGAGTTGACTTTGTCAACTCTGTGATACCCGTACGAATTTGTTATCCTATGTGCGAATAAAAATGCCCTAACTGACTATGGGACAGACTATGACTTTAAGTTGCCGTATTACCATATTAATTTATGCAAAATTTCAGTATAATGTGTTTTTCAAAATACTGTGTGTGTCAAACTACTATTGAAGTTATATGGCAGCTACCAGCAAGATCCAAGAAATTTTAAAGAATTTTATCAAGCACATCGGCCCTACTAACATATTTGCTTGTGTGAGATTTCAATACCACAGCTTTTATAGTTTTCGAGATATAGCCAAATAACTTTTGAAGTTGTACTACAGCTACCCGAAGAAACCAAGCAATTTCAACAACTTTTAAAAAACACATTGGCCCTACTAATATATTCGCTTGTGTGAAATTTCAATACCATAGCTTTCATAGTTTCTGAGATATAGCCAAATAACTTTTGAAGTTGTATGGCAGCTACCAGAAGGAGCCAAGTAATTTCAATGACTTTTATAAGACACATTGGCCCTACTAATATATATGTTTGTGTGAAATTTCAATATGTACCACAGCTTTTATAGTTTCTGAGATATAGCCAAATAAATTTTGAAATTGTATGGCAGGTACCCGAACCAGTACCCCGATCATGCCCAATTTAAATAGAGTTCTGGCACTTATTACAATATATCATATGTGAATATTTGGTGAACAGAGCCCAATTAGTTTTTGAATTATCGTTGGGACGGACGGATAGACAAAGCTAAATCAACTCTGATGTCTGAAGAATTCGACGCTGATCAAAAACATACACTTGAGTTTACATCTAAGACCGTTATTTCTTAGCGTTACAAACGATAAGGCAAATTTAGTATACCCTTCGAACATACGTTCGTACGGGTATAAAAAGGTGCTAGTGATAAATTTGGCTCTTAATTGTTCTAAGCACTTCTGAGGTTCATTTTACGCAATTCAAACTCACTGCAAAGTTCACCAGTTAATTCCGATAGCAAACAGAACTAATAAATTAAATTTCGGTAAT